CTACTACTACTACTACTACTACTACTACTACTACGATTACCACTACTACAGCTACTATGGCTACTACTGCATACTACGACCGCGCATACACATGAAAGAACACAACTACGACAACTTCAACTACTACTTCTTCTACAAACTATGACTTTTACTACCACTACCACTGACACTACAATTACGCTACCGAAGAAACCCACATACTCAATTTAAATATTATGTGCTTGCTTAAGTTGATAATATATGCGCAATTCTGCGTTCTCAGCCCTCGTCGCGAATGTTCCCCTCTGTGTCATCCAACGCCGTATTGCTTGAACCTCCTCCCTGTTCCTAGCCTTCTATCCCCCATCAAGGACAGATTCGAGCCAGCCAGCGGCCGCGCTCAGGGACCACCCCCTGCGCACCCCCTATGGTGTCTAGAAAGTGCCACGCCTGCTATGCCTGGACGACTGGCACGGATAGCGGCCGCGCTCAGGGACCACCCCCTGTGCACCCCCTATGGTGTCGAGAACGTGCCACGCCTGCTATGCCTGGACGACTGGCACGGATAGCGGCCGCGCTCAGGGACCACCCCCTGCGCACCCCCTATGGTGTCGAGAAAGTGCCACGCCTGCTATGCCTGGACGACTGGCACGGATAGCGGCCGCGCTCAGGGACCACCCCCTGCGCACCCCCTATGGTGTCGAGAAAGTGCCACGCCTGCTATGCCTGGACGACTGGCACGGATAGCGGCCGCGCTCAGGGACCACCCCCTGCGCACCCCCTATGGTGTCGAGAAAGTGCCACGCCTGCTATGCCTGGACGACTGGCACGGATAGCGGCCGCGCTCAGGGACCACCCCTGCGCACCCCCTATGGTGTCTAGAAAGTGCCACGCCTGCTATGCCTGGACGACTGGCACGGGTAGCGGCCGCGCTCAGGGACCACCCCCTGCGCACCCCCTTATGGTGTCGAGAAAGTGCCACACCTGCTATGCCTGGACGACTGGCGCGGATAGCGGCCGCGCTCAGGGACCAGCCCCTGCGCACCCCCTATGGTGTCGAGAAAGTGCCACGCCTGCTATGCCTGGACGACTGGCACGGATAGCCGCCGCGCTCAGGGACCACCCCCTGCGCACCCCCTATGGTGTCGAGAAAGTGCCACGCCTGCTATGCCTGGACGACTGGCACGGATAGCGGCCGCGCTCAGGGACCACCCCCTGCGCACCCCCTATGGTGTCTAGAAAGTGCCACGCCTGCTATGCCTGGACGACTGGCACGGATAGCGGCCGCGCTCAGGGACCACCCCCTGCGCACCCCCTATGGTGTCGAGAAAGTGCCACGCCTGCTATGCCTGGACGACTGGCACGGATAGCGGCCGCGCTCAGGGACCACCCCCTGCGCACCCCCTATGGTGTCGAGAAAGTGCCACGCCTGCTATGCCTGGACGACTGGCACGGATAGCGGCCGCGCTCAGGGACCACCCCCTGCGCACCCCTATGGTGTCGAGAAAGTGCCACGCCTGCTATGCCTGGACGACTGGCACGGATAGCGGCCGCGCTCAGGGACCACCCCCTGCGCACCCCCTATGGTGTCGAGAAAGTGCCACGCCTGCTATGCCTGGACGACTGGCACGGATAGCGGCCGCGCTCAGGGACCACCCCCTGCGCACCCCCTATGGTGTCGAGAAAGTGCCACGCCTGCTATGCCTGGACGACTGGCACGGATAGCGGCCGCGCTCAGGGACCACCCCCTGCGCACCCCCTATGGTGTCGAGAAAGTGCCACGCCTGCTATGCCTGGACGACTGGCACGGATAGCGGCCGCGCTCAGGGACCACCCCCTGCGCACCCCCTATGGTGTCGAGAAAGTGCCACGCCTGCTATGCCTGGACGACTGGCACGGATAGCGGCCGCGCTCAGGGACCACCCCCTGCGCACCCCCTATGGTGTCGAGAAAGTGCCACGCCTGCTATGCCTGGACGACTGGCACGGATAGCGGCCGCGCTCAGGGACCACCCCCTGCGCACCCCTATGGTGTCGAGAAAGTGCCACGCCTGCTATGCCTGGACGACTGGCACGGATAGCGGCCGCGCTCAGGGACCACCCCCTGCGCACCCCCTATGGTGTCGAGAAAGTGCCACGCCTGCTATGCCTGGACGACTGGCACGGATATAGACCACCCCCTGCGCCGTGCTCAGAAAGTGCCACGCCTGCTATGCCTGGACGCTGGCTAGCGGCCGCGCGACCACCCCCTGCGCATGGTGTCGAGAAAGTGCCACGCCTGCTATGCCTGGACGACTGGCACGGATAGCGGCCGCGCTCAGGGACCAGCCCCTGCGCACCCCCTATGGTGTCTAGAAAGTGCCACGCCTGTTATGCCTGGACGACTGGCACGGATACCGGCCGCGCTCAGGGACCACCCCCTGCGCACCCCCATATGGTGTCGAGAAAGTGCCACGCCTGCTATGCCTGGGCGACTGGCACGGATAGCGGCCGCGCTCAGGGACCACCCCCTGCGCACCCCC